TGATCCCTAAATTTTTGTCTGAAATATTTGTTTAAACAAAATTCCTAATTTTTTTTACCTAAAGTATCTGTTTAAATAAAATATCCAAAATAACATTTAAACCTAATATTTAATTTTATACAACAATTATTACATCAAAAAGTTTTCTTGGATGTAGTTATGTTACTACTCAAACACTTGCTCGGGGTCAAGGAATTCTTTTCTTGATGCAACAGCGGCTAACCTTATACTACAATGAGAAGGAATAATTTCCGTGACAGATGATAGAATCTATAAAACAAATATGAAAGATTAAAAATGGCAAAAAAACAATAACAAAAAATGAGATTGGTATTCATGAAGACAAATTTAAAAGCTTATTGCAAGGTAACTAAAAGGACTCAAGGAATGTGAGAGCTGGTTATTGTAGCAAAGTTTAGATTCAAATAAGAAAAAGCATGATACCTAACAGTAAAATCTATATATTACGAAATGAAAAATACACACTTTACAACAGAACAACCTTTAGCTACTGTGCTCTCTACATCATTGTTCTCAGAATCAATAATCCTTCTATAGACCAGATTCGGATTAACATGCTAAATCAAAGACGGTTGCCTAAAATATTCATCTGACTGTTGGCTAAATCAAAAACTCACATTTTGCCATTTGAAAGAGTTAGGTTGAGTTTAGTTAAGCTGCAACATGCAACAAGAGCTTTTAAACATACAACTTAATCAAATGGTGGATGATAGACAAAATTATTGAAGGGTATGGATGTTTCATCAGATAAGTCTAAGATGAGGCAAGAATTTTGAAACTAAAAGAAAATCCTACATATATATATATATATATATAGGGAGAGAGAGAAAGAGAGAGAGCTCCACATATATGAATGAAACATGGATTTATATAGATAAACTACAGAAAATGACAGCCCAAGAGGACATAGTGCTACTGGGATATGAATGTGTATTATTATATGGTCAATCCTAGGATTTGTTTAGTAAACACAGAAAATAAAGAAGTTGAATACAACAAGCATTGGGTAAAGCACCCATCACAAATCAGCCCATACAAAATCAAAGTTGAAGCAGGATGCTTTCTTGTATGGAAAACTCCAAGCTTGGAAGCTCTTGTGAAGATCACCATTGCTCTCTGGGACGGCCATCAGGGAATACAGGAACAAGGACCTCTTCATCATTATGTCTCAAGTCTTTAACTTGTTTAATTGTCTTTCCTTGTCCAATCTCCAATATTTCAGCATCGTCATCAAAATCTGGTGGCAAACTGTCATCGTCTTCATCACTCCAGTCATCGTCGTCAAACCCTTCATCACTCATTAAATTATCAACCTCTTCTGACCATTCTTCTTCATCTGCATCACTTTCATCTTCTCTGCTATCACCTTCTCTCAAGCTATCTTCAAGGGTCTTGCGAGCAGGTCCCTTGGGGAATCGTGGAACATTAACCAAAGTACGAAGCTTTTCCTTTACAAGCAACAACCGGTCCTTGTCCACCAACTGAGAGTCCCGGTAAGCTTCCCTCAGAAACACAGAATCCCTATCCCCTTTCAGAGAGACATAAAACATATCAGGATGTCTTATCAACATCCCCCTCAGCTGCTGAGAGAATCTGAACTCCTCGCGAAAATGTGTGAAGTGATCAACGAGCGTCCGCCTCTCAAGTGTGAGACTCAGAATTTCATGAACAACTCCACAAGCATGCTTCTCCTTCTCCCTTGACCCTGGCCTCAGTCCTGAGAAATCCGAGTAAGGTGAAATATAAGGCAAGTCTCTGAATTGCATAATCTTCCTCATCTCACCCTTGGAAAGATTAAGACCCTTAGGAAGCTTCACCCTATGGAACTTGGGAGGCCTGTCTATGATCAAATTCTGCTCCTCCAATTCCCTAATGCGATTATCTTCAGCCGATAGCTCCGCCGCCGAAACCGCAAGCTCAGGGTCCCAATGAGTTAGTTCCAAGGCAGGGCCACGCTCAGTTGCGACCACTTTGAAGTACTGAGGGTACCTATGACAAATGGTGTCACGAAATCCTTGCGGGAGACCCAAATCAGTCCTGAGATGTGCAATTTTCTCCAACAAAATCCGTTTTTCGAGTGACATCATCAACAACTTCCTGAGTTTGACAACCACCAACTCTTCCATCTCATTCCTAATTTTCAATTCCTCAAAATAGAGTCTCTCAGCTTCAGGAGTCATTTTGAATTTGAGAGAGTAAACCCCTTCTTCCATAATCTGAAACACAGCTGGGAATTTCTTCAATATGGCAATAAGTTTCCTCCTTTTATCAAGGCCCAAATCTCTTTTGAACTTCCCAAGTAGCTTAAGTGACATAACTCTATCTGGTTGAGTCACCAGAATATTCCTCACTCTGAGAACGAATTTGAGCTTCTTGTCCCTCTGGATGACGTTGTCAAAGGGGAGCTCTTTCCTTCTCTTCACCGCCGCTGCTATCATGGGTCTTACCACATCAAATTTTGGTCTTCCATGAGGTGACTGTGATGGGACCCAACTCAAATTTCTTCCCCAAATTTGGGACTTTTGGAGGGTGCAATTGAGTTTAACGGACAGATTGGGTTTTGCATGGAAAGGAAGTGTGTTTGAGATGAAGAAAGGTAAAGGGGTGGATGATGAAGGTGAAGAAAGTATGAGCGAAGGTTCCATCTAATCTATCACTCAACAATAGCACCAAAGAGAACAGCAAAAACTAGGAATAGAAAAATGCAGAGATCATGAGAGAAAGAACAAAAGAAGACTCACTCACTACAATGGCTTTAGGATGTGGATGTCCGGCGAAAAAGAAAAAAATTCTTTGGGTGCAGAAAGATATAGCTTAGGGTTCGCTGCGGATAAGCAGTTTGAAACGGAACGAAAAAATAAACGATGAATGTGACTTTGCAGGATCATACTTGTTTTTTATTTTTATTTTTTTTGTTGGTTAAATTAAAGAAAATGAAAATGGATAATTAAATAAAAGTAAAGGAGAATTCTTCTTCAAGAGACTCATTCTCGCAGAACTGGAAAACAGAAAAATTTAAAGATATTTTTTTTCGGCTCTTTTAAAATGGGGTCCAAAAATATAAATCGATTTTTTTGAGCTAAAAGGTAATTGGACTTGTCTGCTGTTAAGAAAACAATTTTTTTTTTCATTTCATTGATTTTTTTTCATTACATCATATTAGATTTATGCCAAAATATTTACAAAATAAATAATATTTTTATCTGCAATCCTTTTTAAAATATTATCAATGAAAATAATATAATATATGCTACAATAGCTACTGTGGATATTTTGTGTAATTTTTTAATTAAGTAATGAAAAAACATTTTCTTATGTTTTTAACCAATTGAGTCAAAATAAATTAATATTTAATTTGTTTAAAAGGATTATAATTGTTGGAAGCGCTGCTCCGAAATGTAAAGAGAATAAATGAATTTTAAACAGTGGTGTTTTCAGTGTAGCTCAATTCCAGAACGAAAGTGGGTGAAAGTGATTTTTTTGAGCCCTGTTTGTCTTGGGCCTGAGATGCCTCTGGTCTTAAAATTGCAGCCTTTAATTGAAGTATTTTTAAACTGGAGAAAGGGGCTGTACGGATTGCAGAAAAATTGCATTATTTTATTTTATCATTTGTTGAGAAAATTTATCTTTTTCATTCCCGTTTCAAAAAGGGGATAATACAAGCTTGATTTTTACATGACTACTGTACATCTTGGTTACTCTGTTATGGTATCCATTCTCTGAAACAAGAACGGTGGATCGCCAATGTCCCATTTTTCAAATTTCGCCCAAAGCCAATTAATTGCTGAGTACCTCTCTAACCCTCTTCCATCCTCCCTCTCCTTTTTTACCTTCATTATCAGAGACATTTACTGAGCTTGGCTTCATATGTGATTCCCCACGACATACATGGCTGTTTTGGATGAGCATCTGTTTCGAATTGGTGCAATTTGCTGATGCAGCTCACCTGAAAAATTGACACCACAAATTATTAGGGCCAAGCACAAATGGATTTAAACAATTGACAAGAGCTAGCTTATTTCATTTCTGGAAAATAAGTGTGAGCACAGCATACACACACACACACACACACACACACACACACACATATATATATATATATATATATATATATGTAGCTGACTAACAAACAGAGAGGTTCAGTAGACTATCTGAATCGAATGACTATTGAAGGCCCAAGGCCCAATTAAGAAATGACTGACACAGTAAATTACAAAGGTTTAATAAAGAATATCTAAATCTAATACTACAAATAAATATTAATAGAGAGAGCTCTTATTTTACCCCAAAAGCTCCATAAGAAATCCCTTATCGAGCTTGAATATTTTTTCAAATTTTGAAGAAAAAAAATCAAATCATAAATTCAGGATTTAACTAAGATTTTGGTCCTCATTTCCATAAATTGGAGTTTTGGTCACACCTCTAGTTGTTATTATCGGTAATATTGGTCCTTATAATTTCACTCATTTGAGTATATTGGTCTCTCAGGGATCAGTACCTAATAAGTAGAAATATTATATAAGAATCAATCCTCAATGGAACATAAGGTCCAATTTCTCTATTAGTAGATACAATTGGGGCTATGGGACTTCTAAATTCTATAAAATCTGAGCAGCAGCATTTAATTATTGCGTCATTAGAGATGAGGGCTGTCTCATAAACCATTGAAAGATCACTGAGTCTCTAGACTACTCATTCTAAGATAGCTTTTTGGACTATTAGTAATCAATATCTAAAACTATTCAATTCACTCCCAGCTTTTATAAAACCACTGTGTTCAATGAAGGAAGTTTTAAATGAAGTATCAATTGATAACAATAAATGAACACCATTCAAAATGTTTTTAGATTAAACAGAGAAAGCATACACCTGCCTGGTCACTTATTCAGCCAACTGCCACAAGAATGCAATGTGATGTACAAATACAGTGGAAACCATTCCAATGAGATTCTCCAGTTTCTATGGCATAGTAACTCAAGCTATTCGGAAGCCGGTGGCTTTGACTGCAAATCATCATGCTGTTTTCTCATTGTCTCAGCTTCTCTAGCTATCTGGATATCTGAAGGACAAAAGACTTGATAGAAAGCTTTGCAAGAAAAGCGAGGTAGCAATGCCACGATTATTATAAGCAAAATTGTCATCCAATATGTAGGGGAACTTGCCAAATGATAAATAGTCCTGAAATGATTAGAGGCACATCAGCTATGTAAGCCACAGTACTATTCTAGAATAAAGTATCCTGGTAGGAAGACCCAAGTTATACGTAACTAACCAGTAATTGGGAAAGACAGGTATAGAATCCAATATCACCACACAGCCATATGTAATTATTATCGATCCCCATACAGCAACATGACTAACCAGTGCCCACTGGTTAATGTCCATAGCTAGGTGTATATTTACAAGGATAACAACTGAAATTGTCCATAAACTGCCCATGCTCCATATATCAATTGTGCTGTCCTTATAGACAAATAGGGGAATGTAGAAGAGAACAAGACTCTGCCATAGCGTGTCAATCATTGTGATCCAAAATAATTGCATATTGTAAGCCTCATGCCGGTGACCAGTACCATATAATTTTGGATACTGCAAGAGTGTACTATGACTCAAGTCTTTGTCCAGAACACCAATAATGATAGTAGGGATAGATGTGTATATCACAGAATAAAATACACTACTCCATTCTGTCAAAGCAGAAGTTGTAGAAAAAGCAGTGCATAATATATACCTGCAGACAAGGAAGACACCGTAATAGAATCAATAGAAGTTTTATAAAATCTCATTATGTTAATTAAATTACTTCTAACACTGAGCCCAAGAATTGGCAACACACCCTCCAAATGGGCACTTTATACACAAATGTTAACATCAAAACATGGATAGAATCCTTTTCTCAGTTGAACCTATATGTAGGAAAGAATAAAGAAAATGACAATTTCCTAGATCAAGTTCATGGCTAAAAGTTTAACAGATAGCAGAAAAAAAAATTGCTATACATACCAGAATAGCATCAATACAAAGACAGCATTGCGGTAGAAGTTGTACAGAACTAGATAACCGACACGCTGATAATTCCAGTGGCCATGTACCAGAAGCAATCTTTTCAAGAACTGGAATTGCCCCATGGCAAAATCTGATGCCATTACAGCTTGACGCCCTTCCTGCCCACATATTCCAACACCAACATCTGCCATTTGGATCATTGACACATCATTTGCCCCTGTCCAAAGTAGTCAAAATGAACAGACGAGGTCATAAGTTTGCTACTGAAAATGTTAATTTAAAAGTGCATCTGATTATTGTTAGATATGATTAGATATTAGTTGATATTGTTTGATATTGTTGAGATATTGTTAATCACAATATCAAATAATATCTTTTTATTTACCCTATTTGTATTCTGTTACTCTTTTGAGGAGTACCTTTCTTTATTATAAATACACTGCCCTATGTGTGGTAAATACATAAGGGAAATTAACCCTATATTCAACATGGTATCAAGAGCTTAAGGTCTCTTGGGATTTTTTTTCGGCTCTGCCACTGAACCTGCAGCTGTCGCCGCCTCCACCGCCGCCGCCGCCGCCATCGCCAGAGTAGTAGTTCGGACCGCCGAGCACAGGGTTTTGCTCGCCTCCTCCGTGCGACCTCCACCGTGGAAGTTTCGCGGTCATCGGAGCAGCCACGCTCCCTCACGCGCCTCCCGAAGCCGCGCCACCTTCTCCCGTTCCGCCGCGCGTGGCGGCGCGTCTCGCCGCCGTTCGGGCCGCCGATCTTTGCGCCGGCGTCGCCTCCTTCTCCTCTCTCGGATCTGTCCTCGCTGCTCCAATCGGACCTCTTTGGTGTTTTAGGGTTTTTCTCTCTCTTCCTCCATGGCATCTTCCGCCGCCACTTCCAATTCGAAGTTACCTCCGTCGGCTCCGGTGGGTCCGAGCAATCTGTTTTTACTAATTATGTCAATGTGAATTTACCCATTGATAAATTAGATGGTACGAATTATGCAACTTGGGCATCCGATATTAGACTTTGGCTTGAGAGTCGTGGGTATGTTGATCATCTTACTACCAAGGTAGATGATGTTCCTTCCAATGATCGTGTCCGTTGGAAGAAAGTTGATGCTCATATATGTATGGTTCTCAAGAATACCATCCAATCTTCTTTAAAACAAATTTTTCGATCGTATGGCACATGTTATGACGTTTGGGAACAAGCCAAATTATTATACACCAATGACACTCAACGTCTTTATGGTGTTTGTTACAATCTTCTTGATGTTATTGCTCCTCGAGATAAGGATCCTGTGGCGGATTATGTGGGTAAGATCCATGCTCTTCTCCATGAATTTAATGAGTTATTACCCCCGCCTCGACTCCTGCCCAAGAATTAGAGCAACGATCAAAGTTTTTCATGGTTTTGATGTTACACGGACTTGCCGATAAATATGCCCCTGTTCGTGACCGGATTTTGGGTTCCCCTGTTACACCCGGCTTTACCGCTACCAGTTCCTCCCTTTTGCGGGTGCCATGTAAACCTCTCAATATTCCCCCTGTAGTTTCTAATGATTCATCCGCCTTGGCCTCTCACCGTGATGATCGTAATCGCTCTCACAAGCCGGGCAAAGGGCGTGTCAAGTGTGACCATTGTGGCAAACTAGGCCACAAAATTGACAAATGTTATGCTTTACATGGTTATCCTCGCCGATCTGTCTGCAGTTGCTCGGACCGATTCTTCCGCACAATCCTCTGCTTGTGGATCCTCCTTCGTCCGTACCTTCGGACAAATCTGCTATCTTCAATGATTTTCTTCAATGGTATGAGGATCGAAAGCCCTCCGGTTCCACTACTTCAGTTGCCCACACAGGTACATCTTTTGTCTGGTCCGACTCACTCTTCTTCTATTGGCCCTTGGGTTCTTGACTCGAGCGCCACCGATCACATCACTCGGTAACAAATCCTTATTTTCCTCTTTCACTTCTTCTCATAATTTACCCTCTGTTACAATGGCTAATGGGTCTACAACTTTAGCTCATGGTATTGGAACGGTTACTCTTTTTCCCTCGTTGTCCATTGATAATGTTTTGTATGTACCGGGTCCCCCTTTAACTTATTATCCATTAGCCGTCTAACTCGATCTCTTGATTGTGTTATCTCTTTTACCAAAACTTCGTTTCCCTACGGGACCGGAGCTCGCAAAGAGTGATTGGCACCGGATGTGAGTCACATGGACTTTATTATCTTCAACATTCTCCACATGTTGGCACGGTTATGGAGTCTCCTTCTCTCCTTCATGCTCGGCTTGGTCACCCCGGTCTGCGCAAATTACAGGCAACTTGTTCCCAGCTTATCCCGAGTTGTCCAATTTGGTGTGTGAGTCCTGTCGAGTTAGGCAAACATAGTCGTACCTCCTTTTCTCGTAGTGTTTCCCGACGTGCTTCATCCCCCTTTGCCTTAGTTCACTCGACATTTGGGGACCCAGTCGTGTTAAGTCTAATTTAGGTTTTCAATATTTTGTTACTTTTATTGATGATTTCTCTCGTTGTACTTGGTTATTTTTAATGAAAAATCGTTCCGAGTTGCTTTCTATATTCCAAAACTTTTATCATGAAATTAAAAATCAATTTGGTGTCTCTATTCAAACTTTTCGAAGTGATAATGGCCGTGAATATCTTTCAAACTCGTTTAAACAATTTATGGCTTCTCATGGCATTCTTCATCAAACTTCCTGTGCTTATACCCCTCAACAAAATGGGGTGGTCGAGCGCAAGAATAGACACCTTATTGAAACAACCCGTACTCTTTTAATTCATGGTGAGGTTCCTCAACATTTTTGGGGTGATGTCTGTTCTTACTCGCTCGTTATCTTATTAATCGTATGCCCTCTTCGGTTTTAGATAACAAAATTCCCCATTCTATTTTATTTCCTCATGACACTCTCCATCCTTTACCTCCGAAGGTTTTGGGTCTACCTGTTTTGTCCACAATTTTGATCCTGGTCATGATAAGTTATCTCCTCGATCACACAAATGTGTTTTCTTAGGATTTACTTGATCCCAAAAAGGATACAAGTGTTTTTCTCCTTCTCTTAATCGCTATTTTGTGTCTGCCGATGTCACCTTCAATGAGTGTTCCTTTTACTTTAAGGACCCTTCCCTACCTGCTGAGTCTCCATCTCGCTACAGTTCCCATTCCCTGTTCTCATTGATCCTTATGTTGAGGACCATCCACCATTAGCCCCTCCTCCTCCACCACCCCTTCGGGTTTATAGTCGCGAGACCTCGCCCACAACAGACGCCACATGACTCACTCCCGATGTCAAATACTCGCCTCCTCCGGTTCCGTCCACGAGTCCGACCTTCCTATTGCCCTTCGTAAAGGTACGCGTTCTACTCGTAATCCTTCTCCACATTATACCGCTTTAAGTTATCATCGAATTTCTTCACCATTTTATACCTGTCTCTCGTCTATTTCTTCTATGTCTATTCCTAAATCTGTCTCGAAGCCTTAGCCCACCCTGGTTGGCGTCGAGGCCATGCTAGATGAACTCGGTGCTCTTCGGACTAGTGGAACCCGGACGCTTGTCCCATTACCATCCGGAAAATCTGTTATTGGTTGCAGGTGGGTCTTCGCTATCAAGGTTGGTCCTGATGGTACTATTGATCGCCTCAAAGCTCGCCTTGTAGCCAAAGGCTATACCCAAATTTTTGGGTTGGATTATGGTGATACTTTCTCTCCAGTGGCAAAGATGGCTTCGTTCGTTTATTCATTGCCATGGCCGCTATTCAACAATGGCCTCTTTATCAACTCGGATGTCAAAAATGCTTTCTTGAATGGCGATTTGCAAGAAGAGATTTATATGGAGCAACCTCCGGATTTGTTGCTCGGGGGAGTCTTCTGGATTGGTATGTCGTCTTCGCAAATCTTTATATGGCCTAAAACGGTCTCCTAGGGCCTGGTTTGGAAAATTTAGCGACGTTGTTCAACAATTTGGCATGACTAGAAGTGAGGCGGACCACTCGGTCTTTTACCGTCACTCGAATGCTCGGATGTATCTATTTGATAGTGTATGTCGATGACATTGTTCTTACAGGTAGTGACCATCATGGCATCTCTCGGATGAAACAACACCTTTGCCACCATTTTCAAACCAAAGATCTTGGCAAACTCGGATATTTCTTGGGTATTGAGGTAGCACAATCTACCGATGGCATTGTTATATCTCAAAGAAAGTATGCATTGGATATTTTGGAGGAAACTGGGTTGATGAATTCAAAGCTCGATGACACACCCATGGATCCTAATACCAAACTCTTGCCAAATCGGGGGAGCCAATGTCGGATCCCGAACAAGTATAGAAGATTAGTTGGAAAATTAAATTATCTTACAGCTTACTCGCCCGACATTTCCTTTGCAATCAGTATGGTGAGTCAATTCCTCAATTCTCCTTGTCAAGATCATTGGAATGCGAGTCATCCGTATATTGAAGTATATCAAAAAGTCTCCTGGAAAAGGTTTGGTGTATGACTCCCATAATCATACAAGAGTTGTCTCGCTATTCGGATGTCGATTGGGCAGGATCTCCCTCCGATAGAAGATCTACATCCGGGTATTGTGTTTCCATTGGTGGTAACTTGATCTCATGGAAAAGTAAGAAACAAAGTGTTGTGGCAAGATCCGAGTGCGAAGCGAGTATAGAGCTATGACCTCGCCTACTCGTGAACTTATTTGGCTCAAGCAATTGCTTAAAGAGCTACAATTTGGAGATGTCACTCAAATGACACTAGTGTGTGACAATCAGCCGCTCTCCATATAAGCTCTAATCCTGTCTTTCATGAGAGAACTAAACACATTGAGATTGACTGCCATTTTATTCGGGAAAAGATTATGTCTGGAGACATCAAGACTGAGTTCGTTAACTCATGTGATCAATTAGCAGATATTTTCACTAAGTCTTTACGGGGACCTAGGATGGATTATCTTTGTATCAAGCTAGGCACATACGATTTGTATGCTCCAGCTTGAGGGGGAGTGTTAGATATGATTAGATATTAGTTGATATTGTTTGATATTGTTGAGATATTGTTAGATATTGTTAATCACAATATCAAATAATATCTTTTTATTTACCCTATTTGTATTCTGTTACTCTTTTGAGGAGTACCTTTCTTTATTATAAATACACTGCCCTATGTGTGGTAAATACATAAGGGAAATTAACCCTATATTCAACAATTATAAATGTAAAGTACAGGAATTTCATATCATATAAAGAGCTTACCATCCCCTATTGCTAATGTCAGATCATCTGTGCGGCTTTTTATCAGATCAACAATTCCTGCTTTCTGCAAGGGTGCAACACGGCAGCATAGTACAACCCTACAGGAAGTTGCAAGGTCGAAAAGCTGAAGAAAGGAAAAGGGAAAACAGTAAATATTTGACATGAAATTATTGATACCAAGCTAAACAGTTCCATATGGACTTAAATAAATTAAGCTTAAGTTTTCAAATATACATAAATATTCCCATCGAAAAACTTCAAATGAACAAGGATAATCTTGCCTCTGACTGTAGTTCCTTCTCCAAAATATAAACCAAACTGGTTCCATCAATTATGAGGGCTAAGGGAGCAGTAGCTCCTTCCTTTCCTCCATTCCTCTTGGGCAAGCCATCATCATTGTGGATATCAGAGCGACAATGTCCAGAACCAGTTTTGTACTTCAGAATCAGATGTTCTCTACTTGAAGATTTCAACCCATACTTAGCTATAGCCTCAGTCAAGAGCTTTCTGCACTCAACCTCTGAAGTGCCATTTATAATTATCTGTTGCATATCTCCACTCAGAAGTTTACAAGAAAGACCAATTGAAATTGCGGTCTCTTGCTTATCACCAGTAAGAACCCAGACCTTGATTCCAGCTTGCCGCATGGACTCAATGGCTTCAGGTACACCCTCCTGCAGCTTGTCCTCAATTCCAGTTGCTCCAAGTAGCTTTAGGTTGCATTCTAAAAGAGATGCTGATTGACGTAGTTTTGAAGCTCGATCAGTCAATGAAGTGCTCGCATCTTCATACATGTTTTGCCACTCCTCAAATTCGGCATCTGAAAGATTCTTGGAGGCAATTACAAGAGTTCTTAAACCTTGCATAGAATATTCAGTTAAGTGATTCTGAGTTTCATGTTGTATGTAGTTGCCTTCAGAGTTAGGTGCTAAAATGCTAAACATTGAAGTATCGGCACCTTTAACCAACACCTTAACTATATTATTAGGAAACCGGATAACAACAGACATCCTCTTTCGTACACTATCAAACTCATGCAGGCCCAATACATCCAACCTGTAATTCACACAGAAATGATTAACTGAATATAAACCACACTGAACATAAAATGTTGCACTAGTATATGCAATATAAGTATAATTCAATTTCATTAAGTACAAAAGCCCAACAACATTTTGAAAAAACAGTCTTGCACCAAATGGAAGTCGCTATTTACCTCAGTTTCTCACCATTAACATCAACAACAACATTTCCGGAGGTTCGCTCAAATAGAGTATATCCATATGCACAGGCAGCTGAAACTAGAGCTTGTTCATCAGGAGACTCTCCCTGGTAATCAATACTTTCTATGTCTTCATCTGGTTCTTCTTTTCCGCAAGTGGAAACTTTATTACTACTACCAATGGGGATCACAGTATTACAAACAGCCAATGTAAGGAAAAACTCATGAGCGGAAATTCTTTCATCTAAATTTGAGTCTTTCTGCAACAATGCCATTAGTTCAGAATCAACAGCAATTTCAGATTTGAGCTTCAGTCTTCGTTTACCACTATTGGCTGCTGCTGCAAAACAGCACCAAAATGTGTTTGTGACACATACACCGTCAAATTTCAACACATCATAAACTTACAGATTATTCTAATAGAACTCAAGTAGTCAGTAACTCAGCTCAAAACATACAACTTAATCAATTGGTGGATGATAGAAAAAAATTATTGAAGGGTACAGATATTTCATCAGACAAGTCTAAGATGGGGAAGAAATTTTGAAATTAAAAGTTAGTCCTACATATATAGAGCTTCACAAATGAATGACACATTCCACAGGCCAATCCCAAGATTTATTTAGGTAAACTAATAGAAAATGACTGCAGAAGAGAACATCCCACTGCAGGGATATGAAGGTGTATTATATGGGCACCAATTTTCTACAAACTGTATAATAAAACACCTAATCATACACAAAAAATATCATAACTAGTGCTCACATATAAAGCCTTTCAGCAACTTTAAAACTACATTAGCATCACCAAGATAAAGGCATGCCACATCTTCAAGCAAGCTGGAAATACATAATGACCTCGAGTGAAGCCCAAATAAAGAAAAAAAATACCTGTATTGTTATCAGCTGTAAGCAAGGAGCTCCCGTAGCTTTTTCCGTGTACACTGGCTTTCTGAAACTCCATTTTGTTTTCTGTCAGAGTTCCTGTCTTATCGGAGAACACATAGCGTATTTGACCCAAATCTTCATTTATGTTAAATGATCTACACTGGAACCTTGATTCAGAGTTAGTATCATACATATCCCTGTCCTCTATCATGAAGTATGACTGACCCAAACGAACTAACTCCATTGTGATATATAGAGATATTGGTATCATTATCTGAAACACAATAATAGAGCTCAAAAATGAGAAGAATGTTTCCATTGGTATCCCATAATATCTGTAATTCTTTCCCTCATTTGGCCCATTGTTTAAGTATGTTGTTCTGTAGTAAGGCAAGGTGTCAAGCTGATCCTTGTGGCGTACCAGCCAGAAACCCATCCCAAGGGCAACAACTGCGCACATGATAAAAAGAAAAACTGACAACCAAAAAGTTTCTCTGTTCATGTAACTTTCCAGTTTGCTTCTCTTGGAAGGGGAAGCTGCAGTGTTCATCATTGCTTTTGTTTGCTGTCCTGCATAAACCACAACACCAATTATCCAAGCCGTGTTCTTCAGCATGCAACCACGCAGTACAATGTTTGACTGGTTAAGGGGAATCTTATGGCCATTGAACTCCAAGTTGGCAGTAAACTCATAAATGTTCCGATTTGGTGGCTCACATTTAATAACTCCAGCGACAGCACAAGCATCTGGGAACACTGCTGAAGCTGTTTCTTGCTTGGCAAACCTGGTCTTCAAATTCGATTCCCCATCCAAATTCATTGTCTGAATATAGGCAACCCCACTCGGATCACTTGTCCCCAATAAGACCATGTCAGCAGGAATCGTCTCATTGGCAAAGATTTGAACCACATCACCGGCCTGTATATTTTTCCATCTCTTGGAGCAGAACTGAGCTGATTGAAGAACCAGACACTCTCGATTGTTTTCATAGCAATCCGATCGGTGCCTGCGCCAATCCTCGTAGGCATCCTTGATAGCAGTGACGCAGAGCACAAATAAAAGGGGGAAAAGGGACACGGTTCGGCCGAAAACAGCAAGTGGAGGAAGCTGATTCAGGCAAGCAATGGCAAGGAAATAGAGATAAGCAACCCGGTGAAACTGAATGAAGAGATTCTTGGGCAAGAAGGTGAGAAGAGTGTATCTGCTAGTTTGGATCTCATTCCCAGCAAACTCATATTTTTCATTAGTCTTGATGGGATCATTAATATAGATGAGATTGGCATTGTTCTCATGTATGATGATGTTATCATCAAATTGGACACTGCTTTTGGGACGAACTCTGTTGTGGCGAGAATGGGGAATTTCAGAGGGGGGGATGTTTGCAGCATTACGTTCCATGGCACGCCACGACCCCCCTAACGTGGTGCACTCAAACTGAAACCTTGTTCAGTGCATTGGCTCACCAATCCCTGAACAAGGCTATGCAATTCGAACCAGATTGAAAAGCAACCACAAACAATCTTCTTATCTTGCTTGTAATCAGAAAATTGAATAAATAATAGAAAAATAAACAAATGATGGAACCTATGGGCCTTCAAGCTCACATTGGTGGCAAAATCATCTCATTCCATCCCATTGCAAATTCCATCCATGATGGTGATTGTTCCTCCCCTCCCCCTCTAGCTGGAACAAGAAAATTTGATTGAATGATAACAATAACGATGATAATGATTAATTATGAGTAAATGAACAAATGGATTGAACATGAAACGTTAAAAGAAATAAACAGAAAAGAACCCGAAACTAATCTATCATGACGTGGAAGAAATAAAAAAAAAAAAAAAAGTGTGGAATTGAGGAGGAGAGGAAAGGGATTGGGTGGAGATGAAGATGAAGAATTCGATGTAGCGGAAATGCAAATGCAAATGAAATGAAATGGGGATGCAGAGAGAATGGGATAGGACCTGCGTTTGCCCCGTGGAATGGAACGGAACGGCTAAAGAAAAGCTTTAGATGGAAGGGGAGAACTTCCACAACGGAAAAAGGGTCAATAGTACAAAATCATAAGGGTAAAACCGAACTGATAAAAAAACTGACTAAATTTTTTAAAATAAATTAAAATCTATTTTTTATTAGATTTTTAAATATAGTTTTTCTTAAATTTCATAATTCAATTCAAATTTTAGATTAATAATGAAGAATTGGAATATTCGTAATTATTATATCTAAATATAATAGTAAATGTTTAATAAATATTCCATACGTATATTTTTAAAATATTGTTTTATAATTTGATTATATTTAAACCTATACATTTATATTTATACTATCACATGAGTGAAACCTATACGTTTTATGTATTGTATAAATTTTTTATTCTAATCTATGTATAAATTTTTTATTCTAATCTATGTATGTTTCTTGAAATTCACGAAATAATGTATTGTATCTTTAAATTTTATATTTATATAAATTCATGCATATGATTTTATAATATTAATTGATTGAAAAATATGCCCGTTTATCTTGTTTTTTTTTTATTATTTATAATGAATAAGTTTAGATAAGTTGATCTGATGACTATCATTTGAAAAATTTTTATCAAAATGAATTATGTGAATATTGAAAAAAAGAAAAAGGAGATTCAATGCAAAGATACTATAATGTTTAAGTTAGTGTAAGAAAAAAAAATCTCATGAGAATATAATGATTTTATTTATAGATTTTTTATCAAGGTATTTTAAATATAACTTTTTTTTAATTCTGATTATAACTAAATAATTAGATATATTAATAGTATATTCACTACAAAAAATATTAAAGTTACCAACGGTCAAAATCCGTCGGTAAAACGAATTCGACGGTCAAAAATCTGTTGGAAATAATTTTATTATTTATTAAATATTTTTTTTATAGAAATATCCCTTTATATCCCCTTTATATTACTGAATTCGACGATCAAAAATCTGTTGGAAATAATTTTATTATTTATTAAATATTTTTTTTATAGAAATATCCCTTTATATCCCCTTTATATTCTTAAAATTTCTTCATAGCTTTGAATTATTATTCAAGTTTAAGAGAAATGTCATTGGCAGGATTTGAACCCGATCTTAGAAGTCGAGAGTCGATACTCCTACCACTAAGTTACTTAGAATTTCTTGATAACAATTTACAAATAAATTATATTTATATACAAATATACAAATATATTTATATATTTATATATTTTTATATTTTTATATTTATATATTTATATATAATTAAATATTTATTTTTTAAAATTATTTAATTAAATAAATTATTATAAATTAATCTAATTATGATTAAATTAGATTATTAAATCAAAATATTTTATTTTTTAATTAGGTGAATAATTAAATTATATTATCTAATTTTACTGACGGATATATCCGTTGGTAAATAATTGTTAATTTACGTATAAATTTACCGACGGATATATCCGATCAGTAATTAATTGTTAATTTATCGACGGATTTACCGACGGATATATTCGTCGGTAACTAATTATTATTTTACCGACGGATATTTTCGTCGGTAACATCAAATTTCAAAAATATTTTATATCCGTCGGTAATTTCCGTCGGTAATGATTATTTTCCGACGGCTACAAATCCGTCGGTAAATATCCGTCGGTAATACGCGATTTTCTTGTAGTGATTATTTTCAATTCATTATGTAATAAATGTGGGAATCTTAAAGTACATAAGCTTCTCAAATTCAAAGTCTAACTTTATGTTTTGTTTGTTTCTAATGATTTATTGTAGTAGAGAATTTAAAGGAAGGGATTTGTGGGGATATACGTAGGTTTGTGTCTACTAATTTGAGTATATTTTTGGTGATGGGGAGTACCAAGAAGAAGTGGATGGTTGAGTAACAAATGTTTAAATTGTTCTCATTAATTTTTTTTCATTTGCATGAATATCTCATTCCACTTTACAAGGATAATTTGATCATTAAATTAAAAATATTATTATTTAATTATCTTATATTCAATCACATCAATGACATAAATTATAATAAATCGACTCAAATATCTTCAAATCTACTATTTTTCCCTTAATCCAAACAACCTCACAAATCCACTCAAATCACCTCCAATTCACTTTCTCAAATCTTCACCCCAATCCAAACACGAGTTTAGTATAGACAAATGAATTGACTAAGTGCATATTCAATAGGAGGAACTCACATGAGTTGCTTGTTACCTTGAAGAATGTAATACAACTATTTATGATGTTACATTATTTTCAAGCAACCCAACTGCATTAGAATTTGGTTTTAATAAATTTAAAAAAACTCATTCTTTCTCATACTTTGTTCATTTTTTTAAGTTGTTTAATTACCAAAAAAAAAAAAATTAAGCAACTTATCATTTCAGATAGGATTTCTCAAATGAAAAGTTTCTTTAAGTAACTAATATTTTATTTAAGCATCTCAATAAAACTCCCATTAAAGATGCTTTGAGTAAGTCTCATATATGGAATTTTATAAGATTTTGTTGAGCAAGTTTGATCTCTATTGCAGAAGTGACCAAGTGGATTTAACGATCATAAGTTTTCTTGACAATTGTGCAATTCATACTAGTAAAGTATCATTAAAGTCGATGTAATTGTAATTTATAATAATGACTCATGTGTATTCTATGAGAGATGTGTGATCAATTTAGAAATATAGATAAATGACTTTTTGATAAATGAAACTTGATGTTGGTTCTATTTGTGATTAAGTGTTATAACGTACTAGACATAATGACATATTCAAAGTTCTCAAATAATTGTTATTACATAATGATATGCTCAAATAATTGTATAACTTGAATGTATATTGATATGTTATGCTAGCTACATTCAATAATGATGTGTTGCGATAATTATGTTTAGTGATGACGTGTTGCAGTGGCTAAAATAATATTTGTTGAGTTTCTTTACCTCCATCATGTTTAACTCGGGACTAAAATGATATTCGACAAGTTAAATTACCTCTACCATATTTAGTTTATGGCTAAAATAATATTTAATGAGTTCTATTACCTCCATCATATTTAGCTCATGACTAAATAACATTTAACAAGTTTCATTACCTCCGTCATATTTAGCTCATTACTAAAATAATATTGGTGAGTTTCATTACATCTACTATATTTAACTTGATGGGAATTTTAGGGTTTTATGTATATGCATTTCTGATATATCATGTGAATATATTTCTATTCATGTACTTTATGTATATATAAAGTAAAAATATTACAAAATATCAAATATCAATAATATCTTAATCATAACTGCCTAAATCAAAATAATAACCTAATATCTTTTTACCTTCTCTCTTAAAAGATAATAAAATCTCTTAATACCTAATTTAAATAAAAGATAATAAAGTAATATTTCTAACATTCCTCCTTACTTTAATATCTATTTATTTGAATTTGATATTTTTTCTTTTATTTTGCTAATAATTTTTCCTCCTTTTTGTTTATACTTCTTGTCATCTTCCTTTTTGTATGCGATCACATCTTCATTCAACTTTATTTTCTCCATTAAAGTATTTCTATAAATCCTAATTCTCAAGACTCCTCGTTTGTTAAATTTTGAAAAATTTTTAATAATTAAATTATTAAGAATTGGATAAAACGATCTGTAAAGTTTTATATTTATTAAATTATTTATGATTTTCTTGAATTTTTCTGAAATTTTTAGAAAATACTCAAAATTGACCCGTTTTACGTGCAGTTGGACGTCAGATAATATTTATATGTTTTAAGATAGAAAGTGGAAGTAATAGAAGTAATTAAATTAAGAATTTAATAATATTGTAGAGATAAGAAGTGGATCATTTGGTTAGACCTTTGTCATAAGATTTGAGGGTTATGAGTTTGATTATTGTATGTGCATTAAAACAATTATAATTTTTCTATTATTTTATAATTGTTAGAAAATACTCATGTGTGTGCCTGAACATTGAGTATGTTTAGCGACTTAACAAGTTTTAATTGCCACATTTAGAAATTTATTTTATTGTATGCATTGAGTGTGGATACATTAAAACCTTACTATGTGTGTGAGTTAACAAGAAACATATTATGGTTTGGCCTAATGCTTAAGTTTTAAGGGTTGTGAGTTCAAATCTTGAATAGAGTAAAAAGAAGAAAATAATGCATAAATTTTTCGTAATATAATCTGCTGAGCGCACAGGAATCCGCTAAGCGGATTGTGGTTTGAAATTTGACTTTTAAAAAGAGTGTCATCTTCTTCTGCAAGTTTTTTGTAGGTTCCTCATTTCTCTCTTTCTCTCAAAACTTTCCTTATCTTCAAGCTTGATTTTGAAGGGGAAATCTTGATTTTCTTGAGGAGCTCCAAGAGGTAAGTTTGTTTCTC